TAAGGAGTGAGTATTGAACAGACTGTTTGTGGGCACACTTGAAAAGCAATATTCTCTTTGAGTGATCCAAGTTCACCATTCCCAAGGTTTGCGATATGTTGCTTACATTGCGTCTTTGGTGGCTTGATCCCTGGTTGTGTAGAAGTGCTATGATTTCTGACATGTGCCCCCAATTAAAGATATTGACAGATGAGAGGAACTGCCAACACAGGGCTAGATAACTCCGTTGGTAGTGGCCTGATACAGTGCTTCCAGAAGTTACAGGTTCAAATCCTGATCCTGTCAGTTTCTTTGTTCATTTTCATAATTACTTTGCAAGCACCTGGTCAGTTTCCCTATATGGTCTGTTTGATCATTGAACAAGCGTGTTTAATTTATATAACAGGTTTTGCTCTTGCCCAACGCATATTGATAGGCACCGTATGTGCAGTGCTTGTCCGAGAGCTTGCGAAAAAACCTCACAAGCTTACTCGGGTGGGGCTCGAACCCATGACCTCCTGCTTACTAGTGCAGATGTCTTATGTACGTTGGGTAAGGGCAAAACCCATTATATAAATTAACATCTCCCCAATGCAAAAATACATCTTGAAAGCATGTTTATGTATCATAAAATACATGTATGTGCATTCATTAACGGAATTGTACTCCTTTCACTTAATTTTTGCTGAGCCAGTTACCTGTCCAGTTGGTCAGTTTTTCAACAATGACACTCTGACCTGTGAGGAGTGTCTTATTGGTCGGTATCAAGATGAGGACCAGGAGCCCCAGTTCACCTGCAAGTTTTGTCCTGTAGGAACGTCTACTGTTGGCATTGGGTCTACCAATCTAACAGACTGTCTGGGTGAGTGCAAAACTATGTAGTGTCCATTCCTCAACCAGAAGCTGTCATGAATACATGTACCACTATTTGCCGTTAGACCGTGCAGTACAGAACGTGCATGCATGGATGCTGATTCATGTAATGGGCTGTTTGCATGGTTGAGGGGAAGGAGAGGCTGCGTGTGCATAAAGGATGTTACCTTTGGGGTTCTTCCAGATCTCGATTTTGTCTCCGCCCTTGA